AGTGCGTTCAACAGGTCAGTCCACACGTCCTTGCTGGCCACCTTGGCAGACAGGATGTTGACGAGCTGCTGCAGCTTCTGCACTTGGGTGTCTTCTGTTTTTTTTTTTTATATGGGTCAAGTGATGGGAAAAGGTTCAATAAAAAAATAGGATATAAAAGATGCTGTTTCCGGCGAATTCATCAATTTCAAATTTTCTCACAAAAAAAGGTGAAGTGAGGTTACCTGAGTTAAATTCATATTTATTGAAGTTATGCTTATACTGCACTTGTATATGCATTGAAGGTGGATTTATATGAAATGAAATTGTGTTTATAATTATTAAAGCTATACCTGAATTTATATTTATGAATTTTATTTTTATATTTATTAAATTTATATTTACAATTATTGAAGTTATGTGGATATTTATATTATACTTATTGCATGCAGTTATCCCAACTATTTTCCTTTTCGAACATTTAATCGTTGGCTTTTTGGAATTTTGTCGCATAAACAATATGGAATATATTTAAGCAATTTACATTTTATAATTTATTCCCTGGTGGTATTTGAATGCATTCACGACATATTGTTGAAATAAATAAAAATTGGACAGTTCACCCCGTCTCTTTGGGGAAATACACCATAATTGATTTATAATTCATAACACTTTTTCATCATGCTTTTATGACTGCCAGTCAAAGTAGTGCCAAAATTTTCAAAAAATGAAGAATTTAAAATATTTAAAATTAACTAGGCCATTATATCCAGTACATTTGTTCGATTCGATTTTAAAAGTCATATACAGTAAAACAGAAATAATTCAAGCAGTTGAAATTTAATGATACATTTTCACGGACATCATCCCTGGGTATAATGCGATGATTTTCGATATGAAATGAAAACTTTATCACAGCATAAATAATCGAGGTTATATGTTTTCGAATTGCTGCTAGAATATGCTATACTTGTATTCCAAAGAAAATTTTTGAATATTTATTATACATGTGTTTTACGACCTTACTCGTATGGTCATAGCGATCAATCATGCCTGACTTCATAAATGAGGACCCAAATCTTCAAAAAATACAGTTATATAATTTATATTTTCAAATAGAATTCTTCGATGCTCCATTTCTTCAAAACGTATAGTCAAAAAATAAATGCAAAAACGAGATCAGGCTGGCTTTGAAACACATCCACTTTATTGAGCAGGATTTTGCTTCGTCAGATTCGCATTTATTTATTATTTTCAAGAAAACGCCTGATCATGGACTACAGTATGTTGATTTAACAAAAACGAGATCAGGCTGGCTTTGAAACACATCCACTTTATTGAGCAGGATTTTGCTTCGTCAGATTCGCATTTATTTATTATTTTCAAGAAAACGCCTGATCATGGACTACAGTATGTTGATTTATTTATTTTTAAATAATATTAATTCCCCATGTATGAAAATACTGTATATGAAGCATTTAAGCACGCAGATAATGGTAAACTGCACTTACTACTCGAATAAAACTAAAAGTTACCTCTCCACTTCCTAAAGAACTGTCTTGAAAGACCTTATTCTCTCGTTTATGAAGTTACAAACGGAACTGGTCGTCGTTTCGGGGTGCGTCTGAGTGCTGCTACTGCATTGTTGAGGAAGCCGGCAGATGCCACTCCAACAAGGAGAAACAAAAGAGCGAATTTCGCGTTCATTTTTTTTAAATTGACTTGGTGAATTGCACGCTTGAAGCTAAATTGAGACTGATGCTAACTTCTGTGAGGAAGAAGCCTTTAAGACAGGACTGCCTGAACCGGATAGAGTGTCACGCGTTATGCTGCTGTTGATGGTTCAAATTGTTGATATCCTACGAACATTATTGCGAGGCTTCAGCTTCAGGGTATGCACAGATGTTGAAATTTCTCACGGGGCTCACGGGAAGATAAAAACTAGGTGGGTACAAATTTGTGTTTCTCTTTAGATAACAAACGCGCGTCCAAAAGAATATTTTATCAATTAAGTTATTGATATACCCCGTAATCAAATGTAGGTCTACACGCGACATCTAGTGATATGAAGAAAGAACATAAGTGACATCAGTTGTCCCACCGAAGAATGTGTTGAGCATTTCTGGTTCGCAGAAGCAGCAAAACATTGATTTCGGGTTCCCGACCAGTTGTCCAGTCCGGGCTTGTGTGAATCTTATGTGAATTGAAGTGAAATTCAAATGTTAAATTCAATTCTGACGCTCAAGTTCGGAAATTTATGATTGTGGGTATCCTTTGATATCTTATATTACTGTATTTAGTTTTGCGTGCGAATGAATGTGTCCACAGAAGTTCGGATTGTTTTATACGTAAGAGAGCTTGTTTTACAAAGAAAGCCTCGCGTGGCAGGTCGACTTCATGAAAGATTGGACGAAGGAAATGATTCAGGAGGTAATCTTCTCCTGAACTTATTTTGAGGATGTGTATTTCGCGACCGTTTCGCTAACAGTGCCTGCCTCTGCATTATCTTCGAGGAATAATGAAGTGCGTATACAGTACCCGAAAAGCGCTTGCTATTCTAATCAGTTTCATATTCATTATGCTTTCCGATGCATGTGCTTACTTATAACCTTTCGCGGATTCTCTGCTATATCGAGTCTGTCGTGGTTCTTGGGAAATTCGTCCGGGGCTTTTGTCGTTACTTGCGTGCAGTGAATATCCTCGCCGTGAATATCTATTGAGCGTCAAGTTCCCTTTGTATGTGTATGTGTGATACATTTCTCCTCTGCATGGCGTTTCGTGCGAAGATTCTCCGGTATCTCTGTGAAAAAAATATTGCTCCTCAAAAACTTAGGCGAAATGATTACCCGTTATTCCAGATGCCTACGAAAACTTCGTGTGTGACATGACTTGCTTCTCGCGCCCGGGAGGATGAGTAATTCGTATGAGAATTTTCAAGGATCGCCGTTCAACGGTATCGTGGGTCAATCTAATCATGCCTCCATGTCGAGGAATATGTCGTGGATCCCTGCGAGTTTCTCGAGCCCGGTTGTGGTGCAGTCCCCCACGACTAGCCTGTTGGATCCCTCTGTTCATTATATAAACGGTAAGGTCCTGTTGCTCTTTTGAAAAATTGAGACTCGAGATTTTTTTTCTATGGAAGCGGCTTTCGTGGACTCCTGGCGTAATGCATTGGTTTTTTGCTCGGGCGAGTGTGATTGCTTGGAGCCTTGGACAATACTTCTTTTCACTCTAGGCGTTTCTGAGGCTCTCGTGTCGAAACCTCGCTATTTGCGGATTAATCGAGTGTGACGCTTTTTCATTGAGCTAATTGCCGTTAATTTTTTTAAATGCAGGTACCAGTGTTCCGTCTACCCATCTGCGTAATGCCCTTACCCAGAATTCGGGCACATCTCATGGCGGACAAGGAAGTAACCCGCAACCTGCAACAACAGCCATTCCATCGGAACCATCACAGGCACAGTGAGTATTCTATGTCTGGGCCTATCTCTAGACCAAGCCATGTTGGAATTTTCACAGTATTTCCCGAATATTTACTGCATTATCAATTGGTTATTTTTTCATAAACTAAATTAGGGTTCATCGCAGTTAGTTATGTTCTTGATTGTGGAAGCCGAGGCTGGACGCACACATTTTCGTCTAACATTAAAACGGAGGAATCGCAAAAAAGGCGACTGTGAAACTCATTTGAACGGTGATTGAATCATGGCCGGAATACAGGCCTTTTGACGTGCATATTTTTTTTAATGGCGAATTCTAGAATTACAGTATAACAATTCTACGTTTCTCGAGGAAAATATCTCAATGGAATGATCAGTATAATTTAATTCATTGGCGTTCATGTGCGACCGTAAACAATTCCGTATAAGCGACCTTTCATCACATCGTTTGGTTTGATTTTACCTCAACTGTGGTGCTTCAAGGAGATTTTTGCGTTCATTAAGAGATCTGAATATTATGATACACTGACGTGGAGTATCTAGAGTATCGTACTTGGAAGATAAACTGAATTATCTAAGCTGAACTTAGTTTTGGACGATTGATATTTCATAGGAAGCTAGTTTACTGGCCGCATCTCGTACGTCGGGAAGAATCATCGCGTGTTGTTATAGTACTGATTTATTTTCACGTTCAAAATGAGTCTTAAATAATACGGGAAATCCGTAATTTTGCGTCAGCATTTGTAGAAAAGGTTTTGATAAATCCTGCTTGTGTTGACACTCGGTGTTTTATTCGCATTCCAGGCCTCTTATACGTGTTAAACCAATCGAGAGTTTACTTGAAAGAAGAGTTGCTCCGCAGTCTGCAACTTCTGCGAGTGGTGGATTGTGGACGAGTGTATCTGCAGCTGTGCCAAAACCAGTTCCATCTTTGAGATTCCCTGTCAATAATCAACCTGCGGCACAATTCAGAATGATGAATGCTCATCAGACTGCCCGACGAACGCCAATTCCGAATGGATTTCATTCTGGTTGTGAAAATGGGATCACATACGCTCCTCGCACTTCGATACTCAGGGTTCGTAAATTCGTTTTTGTAAAGCGTTAATTCTTCATTCGGTTTAATTCCGGAATGAACGTGACCTTTTTGGGTTTATCGGAATATTCAGAAATGAGACAAGTGGAAGTTGAACCCATTTTTATTTTTGGTGATTTTTCTTACATTTTCGAAGTTTTGAACAAGACTTTCTTACAATGCTCGAATGCGTCAAACATATTGAATCTCATTAGTGACCTATTTTTACGAAGTTTTACGTTTGCTGAGTTTTTCGGCATTGTCGTATAAATCAGCTGTTACTCTTGTCACAGTTGTGAATACCGTACATTTGAATATACCTTATTGGTGCCCCATTCAGTTTTGGGCACAACGCTGAAGCTCAAAAACTTGCTCAATGACGTTTTAGGTTATTGGAACAAACGTTTTCAGAAGTTATTAATGTGCTGAAGAATAGTTCAGCTTTCCTATCAGGTTGCAAATCATCTTCTGAATGTTGTCTGTCACAATGTGAATTTTGAAAGCCATTCTTCGAAGGGTTTCCTTACCTTTCTTGGAAAAAATTGTTCATGACATGTTATTCTCCACAGACAATTTTGCCGCCAGTTCAGCTCCAAAGGTGTCTTGAATGCGGTTCAAAATTTTTAAACGAATCGGCGCTGAAGCAACACATTGAAATGATGCACAAGCGAAAAAACCTTTTGGTGAGTACGCAATTTTCTTGAATTGTTCATTTGATTCCTTCATAAATACAGGACACGTCGTTAATGTTTTTCAGGATGCATCAAACTCCAGAGATGGTCTCACCATTACTGTCAATCCAGCTCGAGTATGTTGTTCGTTGTGCGAGTTGGATGTTGTGATTTTACCGTATTGAAATGTGCTTGTTTCTTTTTCAGTCCACTACTTCAATTCCAACCAGTGTTGCATCCACATCTTCTGCGACTACTTCCAATGGAAATTCTTCCGTGCGAAAAGTTGGCAATGTTTTAATTCGGCCAGCTTCCTCGGCTCTGGCCAAAATGAAGTTGGAAGCTGATAGCAAAAGGCCATCCGGTGTTCAGATCGTTAAGCTACAACACAAAACTCCGGAGAGCAGTGAGTTGAAATTTATATTGTACATTCCTCCGAGTATTTACCGCTTTTTATCGAAAAGTAGGGCCAATTCTTGATATAAATCCTTCGTGATTTTTTCTAGCAATCTCTGCAATATGAGCCAAGCTCGAAAAGATAAGATTTCTCCAGAAGGACAAGAGCTTTTTTGTTGTTGAAAACTTGACCGTTCGAGTGGAAAGGTTAATGGAAGGAATTTAAAGCTCAGTATTGTCAAAGGGTTTCATTAAAATATCGTTTGTTTCGGTTATTGTATAAGGTCAAAATTTGTAAATAATGTATGCAGTGAATCAGATCTTGTGCATTTTTGAAGAAACAATGTAGATTTCAAATCAGTTTTGTTTTTGAGAAGCGTAGTTTTATTCGCAGTATTTAACAATATGCGAATACGACTGTTAAATTATTGTACTCCTCGACTGTTAAATTAAATGCGAATACGATTGTTGAATTATTGATAAATTTAGTGTTCCTAAATTTATCATGCAAATTTCTGTTCCTCTGAGAATTTTCTCCCCGAGTGGATGGAAATGTGCATGCCTCGGGTGATATATGATGTTTCAATTCACGTTTTCAGAAGTTATTAATGTGCTGAAGAATAGTTCAGCTTTCCTATCAGGTTGCAAATCATCTTCTGAATGTTGTCTGTCACAATGTGAATTTTGAAAGCCATTCTTCGAAGGGTTTCCTTACCTCTCTTGGAAAAAATTGTTCATGACATGTTATTCTCCACAGACAATTTTGCCACCAGTTCAGCTCCAAAGGTGTCTTGAATGCGGCTCAAAATTTTTAAACGAATCGGCACTGAAGCAACACATTGAAATGATGCACAAGCGAAAAAATCTTTTGGTGAGTATGCAATTTTCTTGAATTGTTCATTTGATTCCTTCATAAATACAGGACACATCGTTAATTTTTTTTTTCAGGATGCATCAAACTCCAGAGATGGTCTCACCATTACTGTCAATCCAGCTCGAGTATGTTGTTCGTTGTGCGAGTTGGATGTTGTGATTTTACAGTATTGAAATGTGCTTGTTTCTTTTTCAGTCCACTACTTCAATACCAACCAGTGTTGCATCCACATCTTCTGCGACTGCTTCCAATGGAAATTCTTCTGTGCGAAAAGTTGGCAATGTTTTAATTCGGCCAGCTTCCTCGGCTTTGGCCAAAATGAAGTTGGAAGCTGATAGCAAAAAGCCATCCGGTGTTCAGATTGTTAAGCTACAACACAAAACTCCGGAGAGCAGTGAGTTGAAATTTATATTGTACATTCCTCCGAGTATTCACCGCTTTTTATCCGAAAGTATGGCCGATTCTTGCTTTAAACTTTTGCGCTTTTTTCAAGCACTCTGCAGTATGAGCCAAGCTCGAAAAGATGAGATTTCTCCAGAACGACAAGAGCTTTTTTGTTGTTGAAAACTTGACCGTTCGAGTGGAAAGGTTAATGGAAGGAATTTAAAGCTCAGTATTGTCGAAGGGTTTCATTAAAATATCGTTTGTTTCGGTTATTGTATGAGGTCAAACTTCGTAAATAATGTATGCAGTGAATCAGATCTTTTGCATTTTTGAAGGAACAATGTAGATTTCAAATGAGTTTTGTTTTTGAGAAGCGTAATTTTATTCGTAGTATTCAACAATATGCGAATACGAGTGTTGAATTATTGTTCTCCTCTACTGTTAAATTAAATGCGAATGCGATTGTTGAATTATTGATAAATTTAGTGTTCCTAAATTTATCATGCAAATTTCTGTTCCTCTGAGAATTTTCTCCCCGAGTGGATGGAAATGTGCATGCCTCGGGTGATATATGATGTTTCAATTCAAAATTTGCAATGTTTCAGGAGAGACGAGCAATGTCAGAGCTGTTCTACCTGAATCCGCGACCTATTCAGCGTCACTTGCCTTGAGGAGAATGGCACAGGCGTCGAAACCTGCGTTGGAAGTTTGTTCTGAACCTTCAACAATGAACGTTGACACCTACTCGCCCGTGGACGTTATTGTGAATGGGATTTTAAATCGTGCGACTTCTGTTTCGGAAGCTCCTGTTCCTGAGTCTTCCATCTCAGTATCCTCTTTGGATGAACTCCTGGTTAAAGCGCTGAAAAGTCCGAGGAAAATCCCGTCGCGAAGTTCTGTCCCGAACGAAGGTGCATCTTCTACAATAGCTAGTGCCTCAAATCTTCCCGAAAACGCAGCCGTGAATGTGGTGATGGAAAAACTCCTGGAAACGGATTCAAATGCTTTGGAGAAATCCTGGTCGCATCGCATGTTTGACAAGCTGATGGAAAAAGGTGCATCGTCAACTGGAAAAGAAGCTCAGCAGCCGTGCCTTTTGATTGATGCATTGAACGAACCACTCGATAAGTCTGACACGGAACGAATGCTGGATGAATTGCTGGACTTGATGGAAGAGTCTGGCATCCGTGTGGACATGGGAGATAATTCCGGCGTTCCCGCTACTTTTTCTGTTGATACGAACTCGGAGATGAAACCAGAGAATGAAATATTGCAGTCGAGCAGTTCAAAAGCTGATGATGTGCCAGTCAGTAAAGTGTCTAGTGAAAATCGATTGCAAGCACCAACAGCACGAACTGTTTCCAGCAGTAATGCAGTGCCAAGAATCACTGCCCGTGTTTCGGGAGCCACTCAAAAACCTCGTCGTCAGAGATCTCAGGACGGCAAATCGCGAAAGAAGAAAGTCATTCCGAGGTAAAGTTATTCCTGCTGCGTTTATTCACACAGTCGAACCTATTCAAGTCGAATTCCGAGGGATGAGAAAAAAAAATTTAGTTAGGGAAACATGGGTGGGAAACGGAAGACAAATTCCAGGGAATTGTAACTTTTTAAATTTTCCGCTTTGAATTGATTTGTAAATGAGTTGACAGAATGCTGAACTTGAAGGCAAGGGTTCATTTGCGCATTTAGTCTTTCAATTTGTTCAACAATTTTTCTTGCTTTTCTCTTTCCTGTGTAAATTAAATCATAGCCAAAAAGACTCAAGAAAATTCGAGTTACGAAGGTCAGAGGTAGAATCATTTGTTAGGTAAGCTTTTAATACATTGTTTCTAAGGGAGCTTAGACAGGAACTTGAAGTAAAATTTGATATTGAATGGTACAGTATTTTACTGAAGGTTTGAGTTATTGAGGTTACAACTGCACCATACTGACGAGAATAACGGACCTATTCTTTTTCCTTGCTTTTCGAGGAGGTGTGTAGAATTTCAGATTTTTGCATTGCTTGAAAATATTGAAGCATTACGATTATGTACGAAGATCCCATCAACTCAACGGACATTTTCCCACCTCTAATACAGCAATTTTAAATTTTCTGAGCAACCCCTGCGGAAGTAACTAGAAGATCCCAGCAATGTTAACTGAGGATGCCCTCTTACGCGGAACCCGAGAAACTTTTTTCTCAGTGAGAAGTCACGTTTTTTTTCAACTGAAAACAACTGGGGTCACCCCATACGCTTGGTAACGTTTTTCGCACAAATACTGTACAGTACAGCAAAAAAGAACTGGACCGGAAGTAGACGGAAATGCGGGATGGGGGCGTTTCCCCCTTCGTGATTTTTCAATAGGCTTTTGGGGAGGGTGGGGCGAGCCCCGAAAATAACAGATGTGCCCAGCTGCGCCCCACTTCACCCACCCTCGCAGGGAAATTGGAGAATGAGAAGGGAAACTGTCCCTCTTCTGAAATTTCTGCCGAAATCTATACGAATTACAAAGTTACAGTTCGAAACATTTTTAAATCATTTTTGGAAACTTTTTATCAACAGATGAATTTGAAGCCTGCACTGTTGTTTTGGAGCTTGAGATTGCGTGGTTTTCTGTACTAACAAATTTCCGTGTTATCACTGCAGTATTTCTTATTTACAAATTAGGAGTGTTATCAACCAACCCTCTACCACATGGAGTAGTCTCAGCCACATGGCTCATGAATAAATAAATTTTATGTGTTGTCCTTTCTCTTACAGGATTGTGAGTTGAGTACAATAAAGACAAACCACTTTATCTGCATTGGCTTCTATTCATACAACATGCATATATATCCAATACAATCATTCAATGACACTCAAGATATACAAACAAGATATACAAGGTTATTTTTTTCAACAACAGAAATTAGCTGAGAACTCTATGGGTTTGAGCTTTACCAATTGCAGAGGAATGATGGGAGAAGAAAAATGAATCGGATTCCTCTGGATTCATTTAATATTCTGACACATGTTTTGTTCAATCTGGAATTTTCTCTCCTTTTCTATCCTCTTCTAGGAAAAGAGAAAATGAATGGAATTGGAATATGTTTGAGTTTGATATTGATTTGAGAGGTTTGAGATTTGTTTTGCCTCTCTTATGGGTGAGGCAAAACAGGGGTTTACCTTTTATAGGATAACCAGAGACTAGCAGACAATGATTGTTCCTGGCAGGATGGGTGACAAATGGGATGGAGCGGTAACAATAATCCATTCAGAACTTCTGTCCAGAGGACTATTCTTTGATCTGGAGAATCCTGGAAAGGGATTACTGTACTTCTAGATAGGGGATAAAAGTAGACAGGGAGTAACATTCCAGAACCCATCACAAGAGATAGAACAAAACATTCTTTGGATATTTCTTCTCTCATTTGTTGTCCTTTTTTAAACCTAAAAGAACTATGAGTCGAAGATTTTTGAATAACTCTTTATTCACAAAATATTGTGAACATCAACATAAACAGGTGAGAGAATATTCTAAGTTCAGATCTAGCAAAGAAATGTTTAGCCTGTCTTCTGAACTTCTCCAAACCAGAACACACTCTGAGCTGTTTAAATTGAAATACTCCATTTAAATAGACTCAGCAACAGAGCTACACAACACTCAGGAAAAGTGGCAGCTTTGAATAACATGAATTCAATAGGAACACAAAAGGCCACTTAGGTCAGGAAAAGTGCCTATTCATGAGAGGGATATTGGGAAATATCTTTCATCTCATGAAAGAACATTTAATGGAAGCAAGGATCAAGGAATGTGGGGAAGGTCCACTCCCCCATCCATCACTCTTCGTGAATGTCACCTTTTACTGGAAATACTAATGGAGTCCATTACTATTACTTGAATGCAGAATGGAATTAATTGAGGCAGTGGGAAACGGGAATACCCAAATTATTTCCCTTTTCCAGGATAACACGTTCATTTGAGTGACTTCACAGTGAGTTGTCTGATTTAGGAAAACAACTGTACATATTTTTTTGGATATTATTTAATTTCCATTGAAATGTATTTGTAGTCAGTTTAAAGCTTGTTTTCCTCCTTGAACCTCAGTGGCATATCTTAAAAAAAGTTACGGTACTCCTGGAACCACCAAGAAAATTTCATCATCAAATGTGCTACTGTAAAAATATTTTACTATGCTCTTTAAATCATTGGGATCTTCTATAGTACAGTATTCGCATAAATTGAGAATCTGATTTTACTTTTTTCTAGTGAACATTGAAGCGTATACTGTACTATGCAATCCAAAGTCGAAATAAATTTTTTAATGAAAGAAAGGAAGAAATCCGCGTGTAATCAATTTGATTTCCGATGTATACAGTATAATCAAGTCAGCCTCATCTTCACGCCTTTGTTTGCGATTTGCATCATCGCACTTGTATAAAATGAAGTCCCCTTTGTGTAAGAACATTTTTTGTAGAATTTTTCAGGCTTCGGAAAAGTAAACCTACAGTTGTTCAAAATTTCGATTTTTTTTTCAGAGAATATCGTGCCAAGAAGTTTGTACGTCGGCAGAAGAAGGCTTCAGATTGCGGGAAAGCAGTGGTGGATCTGAGGACTGTAGATCTGAATGCTGTAATGGAAGGAGCAGAAATTTTGCCAGATGACCGAATCAAGATAACANTTTCAGAGAATATCGTGCCAAGAAGTTTGTACGTCGGCAGAAGAAGGCTTCAGATTGCGGGAAAGCAGTGGTGGATCTGAGGACTGTAGATCTGAATGCTGTAATGGAAGGAGCAGAAATTTTGCCAGATGACCGAATCAAGATAACAGATGATAATGGAGATAGCTTTGTGTAACTAAAGCGCGGCTGACACTACTGAACACGCCTCAAGCTGCTAGAACAACCTGGACTTAGGCCAAGTCTAAGGCTGAGCCTGATGGAGCTACTGTTAGTTCTACGACTAAGAAGTAGACCTCCATACGATCAACCAGTGAATTACTGGTATAATTCTCTTGAACAACGGATGTTTTTTCTGGTCCCTTGAATTTCGTTGTAGAGAGAGTCCATCTGTATTGACTTGTTTCCCTATTTATCAATCGACTTTTGGAAATCATCGTCAAGTAAATATTCTTGTCATTAGAGACACACAGTATTTACCGCATCCTTTTAAATAGTTTCTCACCAAAGAGACGGGTTTGTTTGAAACGTATTTCCATCGCAAAAAAGGGAAATTTTCCCTGAGATGTCCCAGAAAATAACATACATTTGTGCTCCATCATTCAGATGAAAGCTCATCGAGTTCCTCATCAGACGGATTCAAACCGAGGACACGCCTCAAGGATTATTGGGTCTGTGAAGCCGACTGCTCCAGTGGTGAAGACTCTGATACCACTGCAAAAGCCTTGCTGAAATTCCGACTCGCTCGTCAAATGAAGTAAGTCAAGACCGCCCTGTGATTACACTTTCAATCTGAACCGAATGTCTCTTGTTTACCTTGAAAGGACTTCGTTTGGGTACATTATCCTAATTCTACATCCTTGTAGAATAAATAATATTTTGGAGAAAGCCGCGCTTCAATTCTCAAGAATTTATTTTTTATTTTATTTTTATCGTAGAACGTGACTGGGAATTTTTTTTGCGCCAATAGACATCGTAGTACAAAATTAGCATCACGAGCAAGGAAATTTTCACAAGTAGATCACATCGTTCGCAGATTCGGGACATCCTTTTGTAAAAGACTTTTCAATATCTCATGTCACTGGATTATGAGCATCCATAAAACGCGCTACGAAATTTAATATGGACGGTGTATCTCATTTTTGCATGGTGATCGTGAAACTTTCAACGTTGTGTCAAATATCAATTTTAACAGGGGGACTGAACAATTTAAACAGATCTTCAGAAATTATTGAAGGCTCAACTACCATATTAAAATTGCGTACATCTCCATCCATGAGCGAATAAAGCTCAAGACTGACAAAACGTATGAATCACTCCTTTCATTACAAATTTTCTATGATTGCAGGCAATCGAAATGCGGAAGAAATGTCAAAACGGAAAATACGGTTTCTGGAAATTCGCCGACGCGGCGTACTACACCTCTCGAAAAGTTCTTCTCAAACGGTTCGTTCCAATATTTTTGAAAGTACTGTATTGAAAGTTTGAAACAGACCAATTTCCGCGATGATGAATGCATGATGGTTTTCTTTTTTTTCTACTGCTCACTTAGGGTATCGAGATTTCAACTGGAAGCAATTCGACAAACTCTTCCCTTATCAGTGTCCTGTTTGTTATACGTTTTCAACCGAAATTATTGACGATGTGACGCATCCTGAAGAAGATTGCAATCAAGCCAATTTGAGACTTCGTCGAGCCTACGTCGATATGGGAGATTGCGTGGAAAGTGTGGCGAATCCAATTTCTATGCGAAATGAGTTGGAGTCTAGTGATGATGAAGGATTTGTTCCGGTGAGGAAACGGCGACGGGTTGTCGTGTATTCCTCTGACGAAGAAACGACGTCGGAGAGCTCAAAAGGTATGTGAACTATTCACCACGTATCCCAGGTTGATTAATTCATCACCCATCGACACCTAACTTATGTTTTCACAATTTTTCGGAAATCAAAAGCTAGCTGTCAGTGCTTAATATCACTGCAGGATCCAGGCGTGGAAAAGCTGCCAGTCATCTAATTTCCTTTTTGCCAACTTTATCCATCTGAGAGAGGCCGAAATCACTAAATTTTCTCCATGCCGTGCCATAATTGTCCTGATTATTGTTTGATAATTTATTCTACCAGTTTTTTTTAATGGTTTCTCGAAATTTTCAAAATATTTCCAAAGCTTCAAAGTAAGTAGGATAACTCTTTTGGCGTTGTATCAAGAATTTGAGAATCCTCAATTCAATTTTTAGTCTACTTATTGAGTAGTGTGCTCTCTGCCCTATTGTATTGAAAGGTGGATGCATAAAATATGCACTGCATTTATGGTATTGTGGAATATTTTTGTATTTAAAATTTGCATTGAAAGTGTATTTGACCAGTGAGCCTAAAAGATTAAGTTTTTATTTATGCTGTCCTTCAGTATGTAATAGGAACGATGACTAGTAGCAAACAACTAGGGACAGTCAGATAATCATAGTCTTTGTTCATTGAGGGGGCAAGTACCCCTTTTTACTGTTTTGAAGGAAGGTTTTTTGAGAGGGTCTAAATTAGGAGGTGTGTTGATCCGTTTTTCATCAAATGCAAGAATTCCATAGTTTCCCATCCTCTTTTTGATGATATTGTAATACAATCTCATGCAGCAAAGCATTGCTGCATTGTGCCTGAACTCAACCCAAGTACTTTTCTATCAGAATTCTGGATGTTTTGATGAAGGAATGACATTACCTGTTCACACCTGTAAAAGCTTCTTCAATAGAGTTTGGTGCAGAAACCAATGGACAGACACTATGGACATACAGTGTACAATTTTAGAGATGCATATCTTCGGTGTTGTATCAATTTTTTATATTTCTCTGAAAAAAATATAGTGGGTGGAATATTTTATGACTAACTTAGCTTAGTTACATTTTAACATCTGTAAGAGATCAAAATGTATTGTGAAGCGCTGAGTCTTGGTTGGAAGAGGGTTTCTTGGTCTGGCTTTTGAGCAAAGTGGATCTTATTTGAAATGTAAGAAAGAAGTGTTCAATTAAATCAGGATAATTTTCAATAGGAAACTGCCTACTTAGGTTTTCAAAATAATGAGGAATCTGAAATAGGAAATGTGCAACAAAATGACCTTCTGTAAAAAAGACCTGGCCCAGATGAACCAATTCATCATAAATACTGTATTCAACTTCGAGAAAATAACCAACTGGATCCATGAAGTTGAGCTTCATGCCATCAAACCAAAACTTTATAAGTGAAAAGAAGTGGAGATTGATTTGAAGGAACTCTGCAAGTGACAAAGAGTATACTTGAGGAACTACCAGTATCTGAAAAAGAAGGGCAAGCAATTCGCTGGAGTGGTGGACAAAGTTGAAGTGGTCACCAACAAGCTGTGATACCATCTAAACGCACCAAAAGCTAATAGGACTAACAAAGGATAAATCTTCGAATACTGGGAGTTATTGAGAAGGAATTCTGATGTATACAAAGAAACCCAACTCAATGGAAGAGTGGAAAAACTTCAGGGAAGTTGTGAAAGGATTGAAAGTTGTATCAGTTGCCCATAGGAAAGTGGATTACAAATGCTGGGAAAATCTCCAAGTGAAGGGATCACAAGGAAGAAAAGCATGGACCCCAACATCACCCAAAACCCCAGTCTGTATTTCAAGATGAACCCCTCATGTATTTGAAGAGAAAATGTATAATTTACAAATTCTGAAGACATATTTTCTGTAAGAATAAATAGTCAATTTTCCCAATTTTTCTCTCTCATGTCATATTCTGTCAAAATTACTTCCAGCATCAAAGACCTTTAAATTATAATCTGTGGTGTGTTTGAGGGGGGGGGGATGAATATGCCCATTTTCATTTAGATTTTCTAACTATTCATCTACACATATAAATGCTCAGTCCCATTCATAATGAGGCTAGATGAATGAACAAAAGACCTTTCAAATGAAGGTTGGAAACCCCAATGAATCACTTTTTAATGTTCCAACCTCAATGGTGAAAAAGAACTGAGGTTGGAATATAGTGTTCAACTTCAGGTGTTCACATGATGGCATTGTCATGAATCCACCCATTGCCAAGGATCTACCAGGTCCCCAAGGAGCTAGGATAAACCAAATATTCCACTGCATTAGATCTTCTTTGTGGATTCTGTGATGCTAGTGAGGCAATCATCAAAGGTCCAATTGACAACATTGTTCCAGAGCACCACTGCTGAATTTGACAGTGACAAGCAGACATGCTGATTCCGGAACCAATGCCTGCACCAAAGAAAAAGGAATGCTAACCTCAAGCACTACAAGATTTGATCTTGGCTTCTATACTCAAGACCCTCATCCATGAACAGTTGAAAGCAGTTATGCAAGAGAAGAAAGGACTGCCTGTTTGAAGCCAAATCAGAAGTGAACTGCAGAAGCCATTCTGCCTTTGATGGACTTTCAATGGAAGCTGCTGAATAGATGGCATCATCAAGTTTTGTTGATGAGCCCTCACCTTCAACTAAGAGTGAAAAATGTCATCCATTGAAAAAATTTGCATGGAATATTGTTTCACCACAAGAAGAACTAGGTTGTGCATGCCTAGTCCTGTTTGATTGGCAGACTTCAGTTAGTGGATGTGCAGACTTCAATGCAAACCATAGGATGGCCATTTCATCCCTATCAGCAACCAACATGCATCAACTGTTGCAGCTTCACCACCTGTGTCCTCAGTGGAGAAATATTTTTCATGTTTACTAGTTAGTTGGCTGTTTTGGATGCACCTTCCTATCATTATGATGGACAAGCACATTTTGCCTGCAGTAGAGACACTCCACTGCAACCTCCCCTCCTACACTACCCTTGATTTAGTGAAACCCATTTTCAAAACAGAAATTTGTTGATCAGAAATGCATAGATATTTTCAAATTTTGTCAGTGACCAGCATGCTACTAAACTCTGAATCCACTCTTGTTAGCACTTCCTGCCATAATCTCATCTACAAGAATTGTCTCAGTGTGATAAATTTGGCTTTGGTTCCATAGGAACATTCTCCCCATGTTACATGTGTTCCCTTCAGCAAATTCTCTTTGGAACACATTTTTTCTGGTCCCTTGAATTTTGGTGTATAGAGAGTCCACATATAGTTCCATGCAATCCTGATGCAGATGCTTTTGTTTGGTCCATCAGGCATCAAATTGGTCACATCTTAGCCACAGCTAAGACATGAATAAAAAAATTCAATTTGAGAGTAAAAATTCCCTTGATTTAGTGCCACCCATTTTCCGGTTGAAAATTACAAATTTCATCATTTTTAACCAGAAGTTTGTTGTACAGAAATACAGTTGGATCTCTCCGAGTCCAATTTCTGGGGACCAGGAATAAATTTGACTTAGGAATGTATTGATTCTTGGAGGTTTTGAGTTAAGGAAATAAACATTTTTTCTGCAAGGAAAAGTAAAACAATTGCGGGAAATTGTGAATGAGGATATTCTGAGCATAAACTAGGTTCTCAATGATTTTACAGCTTGCTGAACTTTGAGGCAGGGGTTCATTTGTTGAATTAATCCTTCACTTCATTTCAAGATGCATAAAATCATTTGTTTTATTCATGTTCTCTTTCATATTTCAAGGAAATTTTAACCAAAAGACCGCAGAAAATTCAACTTACAGAGGTTTGAGAGAGAAAGACTTCAAGTGAGGGAGGTTTTTAATGCCTTGTTTCTAAAGGAATTCAGACAGGGACTTGAAAAAATTCAAGTTAGGGAGGTATTTCACTGAGGGAGGTTTGAGTTATCAAGGTTCAACTTCAGGTAGATATCTTTAAATATGTCAGTGACCAGCATGCTGATTGCTGAATCCACTCTTGTAAGCACTTCCGCAATGCAATCACAAATTGGAATAAATAAGGTGGACTCACTCTACAAGTGTCTTGTCTACATTGATTTTCTCTGTATCACAAATTTGTCTTTGGACCCATGGGGTTATCTCCCCATGTTATATGAGTTCTCAAGAACAAAATTTGGTACTTTCCTGTTATCTCAGTACCTCACTCCTAGACCGCACTACCATCAAGAAAAATCTTTAGGACAAGTTCATAATCGCAACAACCTACCAGAAACTGTGAATTTTATTTTTCTGCATTCTGCTGAAACGTATTTTGGGAGGCGGTTAGGTAAAGTTAGGTTAGGTCAGGCTATGTTAGTTAAAAGATATTTGTAACTAACATAACCTGACCTAACCGCCTCCCAAAATCAGTTTCAGCAAAAACCCAAAGAAAGCAGAAACTGATTTTGGGGGGCGGTTAGGTGAAGTTAGGTTAGGTCAGGTCAAATTGGTCAGAGGGAAGGTACAGAGATAACAGGAAAGTAGGTACTGAGATAACAGGAAAGTACCCAAAAGGGTACTCTGGTCCCTTGAATTTCATTGTAGAGAGAGTCCACCTGTATTGTGATGCAATCCTGCATCAGTGAGCTGCAGATGCTTTTGTTTGGTCCATCATGCATAAGATCAGTCACATCATGGCCACAGATACCACATGAATCAACTATTCAATCCCGGAATAACATAAATTTATGTTGAACACTACATAGCAATAGAGGATAAGTTAGAAGGCTTGAAGAATACATCATCATTTTCAACCAGAAATTCATTGATTGGAAAAACATAGATATCTTTGAATGTGTCAGTGACTGGCGTGCTAAGCTCTGAATCCACTCCCATGAGCACTTCCCTCAAGGCATTCACAAAGAAATTCAGCGTAACTGCAGAATTATAACTGGCACCGCTGGAAACAGCCGACGTGGCCTCTGAGAACTTGTCAAAAAACACGGTGTTGAAAACTGCCCAAAACAGATGCCCATTATCGGATAAATTGGAAACCGTCATCAACGCAGTCATTGTCAATGGGAAGAAAATGTTGGACATGAATTCAACTGCGGGCGGGTACGCATTGTAAAACATTCCCATTCCGAGAACACTGGCCAGTGTCAGGGTCTTCAAGAACTTGGAAACCAAGCGCAAGTTGTACTCTCCAGTGAAGAACAGTGCCATTGAGGAAAGAGCCATGAACTCCATCATTCGGAAGCTCTGTGTAGATGTCAGCTTTGAGCTTAGTGAGTGTTGCTGGTCACTTGACACAGATGTCAGCCCCTCAGACGTAGCATGATCTTCAGTGTCCCGCACGTTATTGTTACTCTCGTTCATGGCCTGAGTGGCTGCATCAGTTGATGACGAGAGGAGCTTCAGTCCTATTGAAAGAACGAGTGACACGTGAATTAAATGTCTTGAATTTATAGCCATAATTTTTTTTTAGATATACAAACCATCTGAAAGAAAACCGATCACAGTTTCAGCCGCTTTAACGCCAAATCCGATCCAACCGTAAACCCGATCATTGGACAATGGTTTGCGAAATGATTTCAGTCCAGCAAAACCTTCAAAACATGAACACATGCAAAGTAGGTACACTAACATCTTCATTATGTCGACCATCTTGATGTGTCATCTGATGGACAATTTGTGTAGGAGAAATCCTCAGAATTTGAAGGTTACTGATTAACCAGGTGCTGTTGTGCTTATTTTAAAACAAGCTGGGCTGCCCAGCCACCCCTGGGCATCATATGATGAAAAATTATGCCAAGAATTTTGAAGAATTTGAATAATAAAGCTGGTTATGTTTCAAGGACCGCCAGTAATCTTGTACTTTTGCTCAATGCACCAGTTGTGGCACATGTACCAAGAGATTTTTTCATCTGTCACAAATCCTACGTAAGATACTCAAAAAAATTTGAAATATTTGTCCTGCCACTTGAAGTTAGATGGCCGTATTTTCAGTGACCAAGAGTAAAACTTTATATGCATGAAAATTCCCATGATTCTTGCATATGTTTGGGTCATGAGGATTTTATCTGTTTTTAAACCAGGCTGCATCTACCTCTCAACCCAGTGCCCAGTTACACCTGGGCACCATGTGCTACATTTTAGAAATATTTTTTTTAATTTTATAGTTGAGCTGATGAGCTGGGTGTTTTTACATCTTCATGAACTCAAGGTCATAATTACCCCCTCTCTGTACAGTGTTGTTACTGCTTACCAATTTATAAATTTTTTTGTGCTTGCACTTGCTATTCACTTCCTGAACTTTGTGAAGAATGTCAAGTTTTTGTAGCAGAGAAAAGCTATGTTGCTTCATGACACATACACACTTTTTGTGCCTTGCTTCTGCTTGAACTATTTTTGGGCATTCTGAAATTTTCTCTGGGTGAACTCTTGCACGAAGTCAACTGAACTGAAATTTTGTATGTGTGCAAAGATGATTTTTGTGCAATTCCCTGTTTTCCAGATCACCCCTTTCTGTGAACAGCCCTCATTCTCACTAATTTTCCTCCCATCCTAGTTTTGTTGTTAACTGTTGAAGCTTTCATCTCCAGCAACTCTTGAGTAAATCCAAAGGAATTTTCTTATTTTATTATCTTATTTTATGGTAGAGTTCAAGCTGGAGGGAATCTTGGTAAAACTTCCATTCTACTTCTTAAGTTTAATCTGTTCTTTCTGTACTACAGTATATATACTGTACTTCAGGGTTAGGGAACATTGTGTTGATTTCATTGTTGACAATTTGGATGTCATGAAAGTTGTATTGAATGCGTTTATTCAACCTGTGTACCGTGCATAAATATATTCATTTTTACAAACGACTCGCAGTCCTTCCATTCTTGGTTCAATAATTGTATGAAGTTGATTTGCTTTCAGGCAACGTCCAACTGTCATTGAAAGCAAGGTTGGTCATTGATCCAAAAAATACCCTGTTTTCTGCAGTTGGATATTCGTAGCTTTTGAAGTCAAGTGGTGGAATATTGAATCGTGATGTATGTCTTTTGCGCTTGTTTTTTTTTTTTAAAGGTGTATCAGTCCAAGAAACTGGAGGCATTGCGAGTCCAATTTTGGACAAGGTGAAGGAAGAATCTATTGCTGACAAAATTTCCGGAAGCACAATATCGGACTCTGCGCAAGGATCTCCTCTAGTTGAAGAATGTGATCCTCCACGAGAAATGCAGCATCTCCCTGATGAAACGATTTCAGAAGCACTTGAGGATCCTGTCTCAGAAGTACCACTTGACGCTGCAGAAAAAACTGTGGACACTGCCAGAACAGACTTCGTTTTGGTAAATATTGATAGAAACCCTCCGTATAAAAGAGTTCAACTATTTCTTCTTCATGTTTCCTATCAGAAACTTGTCGACGTGTCGAAAGCAGCCAAGAAAAAGAAAAAGTTGTCTGGAACTGACGCTGTCGCCAAGAAGAAAAAGAAGAAGAAGAAAATGAATGGTTGTTTATCTTCTGATGGTTCAGATACAAAACCAGAGGAAGTTGGTGAGTGCAAATTGCCGGTTGTCCGCATTTCTTTGAAGAGGGAAAATCTCGGCGAAGAACCGAGTCAACACTCTTCCGAAAAGAAGAAGAAAGCGGAAGCTTCAGAGCATTCCGTCGATGAAGTGCAGGGAATGAAGAATATTTCCACCGAAGAGACTGTGGAGAAGGAAGATCGCCCGCTGAAGAAGAAGAAAAAAAAGAAGAAGAAGAAGAAGCATTTGGAAACCACGACAATCAATGAAGAGTCGACCGTGACTTCAGAAACGAACTCTGACCAAATAACCTCGTGTACAAGTTCAGATAGTGATCATGTTAATACTTATTGCTGCAACGAATGCTCTTCGACATTCACAGGAGTGCGAGACACTGTCGAGCACATCATCACAGAGCATTGCAAAAAGAAATACCCTTGCTTCTTTTGCCCGCGAGACTTTTTGTCGTGGAAGTCGTTTGGTTCTCATTTGAAGTTCCACAAGGATCCCAGTGCTCTCGTCAACACGGCGCTTAGGGCAGAGTTGAAACTGTTGAGAAAGTTTTTGCCGAACGAGAAAGTCCCTGCATTCGGCACCAAATCTGAGCTGATCGCCATTTCTCAAGCAGCCTTGAAGGCGGCGAAGTTATTACCGGAGTCTGATTTCTTGCAAGAGTTGAAGAGACGGACGTTGGATTGCGGGATGACGCATGATGATCTGATCAATTACGTGATGTCATTAATGTGAACTATGGCATCCGGTTGTAATTCGTCGGAAAATGGAAAAGTCGTGTCGTGATTCTGCTCGAATCTCATTTCTTTTTGAAGAATTTGGAAGGTGGTTGCTTTTTTGCGTAATATCCGTCATTTCGTGATTTGTCATGTTAATGTTTTAAATCCAGGATTCCTTGACCAGTATTCAAGAATGTTCGTATCGTTTTTCGTTCAGATCTTATTTTATTCTGAATCGGAGAATGCGTTTATCCTGTGATATTCTCGGCCGTTTTTTTTTTTTTTTTTTTTTTTTTTTTTTTTTTTTTTTTTTTTTTTTTTTTGGATTTTTTTTTTTTTTTTTTTTTTTTTTTTTTTGTTGCATTTTTTTCTTTTTGATCGAGGTTTTTCGCGATTTCCTGAATTGCTAGATTAAAAAAATTATGTTGAAACGATCATTGTGACTGTGTATTCGCTATACATAATTTTGAATCATTTGAAAAGTCCTTGTTCATTTTCTGCAGTTTGATCGAAGCAGCCGCATGCGTGTCTCAATTTCTTCAAGTGAGTTTTCTAATGTTTTTGAATTGCATTGTTCATGATCGTTCACGTGCTGCTGGGTCCGTAAAAACGTTGATATTCCGGGTAAATATGAATACATTTTTCTGCCTAAAATCCATCTTGGTAAGGGCCAACAATTTTTTCGCATACCGGTTCCGAAGTTGAAATGAATCGAAAATTGTGTTTGTTTCACCTTCCTGACAAAAATTTGAAATGTTAAAAAAATTTGAAACTGCCGTGAATTGCCGTATCTTTGTGTGTTTATTGATTGAACCGGACTTTAAGCAATTTGTTTTAATTGCAGTTGTAATTCAAGTTTGCATCGGCCTGTCGAACTGAATTCGGATGCAGTTCTGGAGGAGCCGTCGTCGGAACGCGATTCTTCTCGTAGCCTTCCTCTCTGTCGTTTCCTTGCTTTACTTCTCCACTCGCTTGGCTGCTATGGAATCGTCTCTCGAGTCCGTTGAGATTCCAAAGTCAATTTTACCGACAGAAAGACGAAACATGAGCAACAGACCAGAGCTCGATGTACACGCTTTTTATTACCCGTGGTACGGAAACCCGGAAATCGATCACCAGTGGTTGCACTGGAATCACGAACTCCTGCCGCATTGGGACCCTAAAGTTCGGGCTCGTTACAAAAGTGGGCGACACGAACCCCCGGATGACATTGGAGCTAATTTTTATCCGAAATTGGGAGCTTATAGTTCGAGAAATTCATCTGTGATTGACGAGCACATGCGAGAAATGTATTCAGCTGGCATTGGTAAGTCTTCTACTCTTGGAGAACCAAAAATTGTAGTTTTCAATTTTTTTAATTGCCTGAAATTTGATATTTAATCTACGATTGAAGGAAATTTTTCTTGAGCTACACGAATTCAATAGGGCATCAATCCTGAAACGCACCGTTTACTTTCCCTCTCAAACCGAAAAATACAGCTCAATTATGGCATGTTAAATTTCTTCGAGAGATTTGTTGAAGTACGTGACCTGGTTGTTTTTGCTATCCAAAATTAGGACTTGGATTTGTCGTAGGCTGTATTCACGGAATTTTGGTAAATCTAACCCTTGTTCATCCTAATGGAACCGTGAGGAACTAGATTCCGTCTGATCAAAAATAAATTATGCGAAGTTCGCATGCGAGAAAGAAAACTGATGTTTTTTCTGTTCTTTTTCGCAGGTGTCGTAGTTGTTTCGTGGTATCCTCCCGGTCAAGCAGATTCTCAAGGAAAACCCTGGGACGACCTCATTCCTAAAATTCTCGATGCCGCTGCCGAACACAACCTTCGAGTCACATTTCACATAGAACCCTTTGAAGGAAGAACTGTCGCTTCAATTAAGAAATCAATCGAATACCTAGTGGATACGTACGGTGACCACATCGCCTTCTACAGGAAGACTCGTGGTGTGAAAACTCTACCCTTGTTTTACTTCTACGACTCGTACCAAGTCAATAACGATGTTTGGCACTCCATCTTGTCACGCCAAGGAACGCAATCCATAAGAAACACCGCTTTCGATTGCATCGCCGTGGGACTCTTAGTCAATTTACAACACGGGGAAAGCCTGAAAAAGGCCGGATTTGATGGATTCTACACTTATTTCGCGTCGAACGAGTTTTCTTACGGCTCCACTTGGAAACATTGGGCGTCGTTGTCGATGTTCGCTCGGAAAAATGGATTGATGTTCGTACCTTCCGTCGGCCCGGGTTACGTGGACACTCGGGTGCGGCCGTGGAATGCAGTGAATACCAAGGAGAGGAGTGAAGGCAAATATTACGAAATCGCGTGGAATTTTGCGATGAAAGCTAATCCGAGTGTGATCACGATTACGTCTTATAACGAGTGGCATGAAGGGACCCAGATTGAATCTGCTGTGCCGAAAAGTGTGGGAAGCTATGTGTACAGTGACTATGGTGACGAGGATCCCGAGTTTTATTTGAAATTGACTCGGAAATTTGTGAGTGAGTGGCTGTCGCGGAAACGCAATTGAGAGAGCGTGCATTGAATCGGAAAATCAATTTAACTTTAGGTTGCTGGGAATTCTCGGAAATCAAAATCCAGGTGGAATCGATTGACTGCGGAAGGCAGTAAATCGAATGCAATCTTAAAGCGATTTATTATTTGATGCTTTCTTATTCAAACGCTTTTGTTCCGATTTATATTCCGTGGACACATTGCTAATATGACTACCGTTTTGAGACGAACTCAACTGTACTGATACCGTTACTGTCTGATGAACAGCTTCATCAGACAATATTTTTAGTTGCGTTTTTGCGTATGTGGAAGCTTCACGTTTTCATTTTGAACTTCAATGTTGGAATATTGATCCGGTGATTCGGAAATACTCTGGGGGACTCCAAATTTATTCAGGAATCGCATTGCACACTTCTTCCAGTAATCACTGTTCCCTGAAAAAAATCAGAATTTTGTTCATGTCTGAGAAATCGAAATTTTTCATGGCAATTATTGGAATAAATATTTTTTTCGCAGCGATTACATGTCACTTTTCTTCGATGGCTGTCAATGCTTAGAGCCACCGGCAAGAAAAGCAACCCACGGAGTAAACCACTGCCAACGGTGGAAACGAATACTTTACCTGAAAGGTTGCATAATTCATAAGTGTGTGTGTCACTGATCCGTTGCCCATTTGAAGAAACAGCAATTCGAGAAGATTTGCGCGGTAGAATGTCTCTTGAACTCCGTGAAGAAGAGAAGTGTGAAAGCAAAATGAACGGACATCCTGCCGCGCATGAAAAACTGCGGGTTCGATTTGTGCTATTGTGGTTCGCGCTCTTTCGTTCCGGGTTCCTCGCAGTGTCATGAAGGTGTGTGTTATTTGTGCTGAAAAATCCACGGTGTCAGTTAGGAGCAAAGCCGTCATTATGGACATGGACGCGTTGAAAAGGTACATTATCCTTAACATGTTTACCTGTAAAGTAGTTTGAGGAGGAAAGAACGCTTCTGTTACCTTTCGGGTTTCATGCGAAAATAATCCCCGAAGTTCACCGTTTCTTCACACAACGAATGCAAAATTCTTCTCCGATTCCAATCCTAAGAGTTGAGTTCATGGGCGTCATGAAATTGTGTTCATCTTCTGGTGTCTTAACGAGGATTCGTAACTAGAAAATCGAACAATTTCAGCAATCACGCGCAAGTGCGAGGAACTAAGACGATAATTGCACGAACCCTCTTCAACCCCAGTAAGAAAAGCACTTCGGGGGTTGAAGCAACGATTTATTAGAGAATTGAGGATTAAAGGTCTTTTCTCGACATTTCATGTTTTGAAAGGTGAAACTCAAATTTATTCAACTCAGGTGAAGCGTGTCTCTTTATTTTTGAAGATTATGAGATAAAAGCTGCGTCGTAAACACTGAATTCATCAACTTTTCGATGCGTCGAATAGAAAATCTTTTGAATAATCCGTGATATTTTCGCGCGTGTGTCAATTTGATATCACATTTACTTCGAGGATCTTCTCATTAGTCGACCATATGTTGTAGTTTTGAATGTTTAGGCCGGTATAGGATGTGAAATTGCTACGTCATGCCGACGGAAACAGCGACTAGAAGACTAGCCGAGGAGAATGAGGGTTGAGAATATGACAAATCCAGACGCTATGCCGATGTTTTCGTACATTTCATTCATCACTGTTCGCTCTGCTTCCCAGAATCCGTAATGCTCACGAAATGCAAAACCGCGTTACTTTCCTATTTCTGAAAGACGCCAGATTTTTGTGTAATGCTGAGAGAAGGAATTTTTTTTTTGCTTTCCAGTGAATTTCATCCCGAGTTCGCTCACCAGACGCCTGACCTCCGCATAACTTGGAATACTTCAGTACGCCTTTTATTGTAAATTCGTTTTCGTAGTTTATAGCGTAGTCCTGCATATTATCATGCAATTTTTTTCTTAGATGTATACTCAATGTTACCGGGTAATCGATTTGGATTTCTATGGAGCTTGATTTGAATTTCTATGGAGCTGAACTCGCCGTGACTCGCGTTGCCATTTTTCGTGTGTCACACGATAATTGGTCGTGTTCGAAGTTACTCTTCAATTGCGGTGAACTGCAGCAAATGAACGCTCGTAGATTTTCGTTCCAATCATTCACACCTCTCGCGAAATTTGTGCTACCGGCTGGTTTCATACAGTGTATAGTAACACCCAGAAAGCTGTTCAATGTCGGGTAGGTGAGCGTTTTCGTGTGCCTCAAATCTTGGGTTCAACGTACGCAAAATTGCTTTGAAATTGGACGTGAATGGCGTCTGAGGAGTTGATACTGACGCAGAAACGAGGAAAAAATTTCGCCTGCTCTTTTTTTTTAAATAAAAATATCAAGAACCAACTCAATCCCTTTGCACTCTGGTAGCATTGATCTTGTGTTCCCAGTTAAAATACTCGGAAATATGCCGTTAGAATACGGTATATTTCAGAGTACCGAGCAAATTTTTTTTAAAGGAAAATTGAAGGCAAGAAAGTTGAATGCTCGTCATACTTCGGTACGCATATTTGTACCGTACAAAATTCAAGAAATTTGGGATACGCCAATCCTTCAGTCAATTTTTGAGCTCATTTAAAAATAACCGTATTAAAAAAAACTACGACATTTTAAAATAGAAACTCAGACCATAATTTAAGCTAAATTAATTTTTTTTGTGATCCTTTCTGTCTCAAACTTGTGTGCGTCATCTTAAGGCTCTATTAATAATTTCAAATGAACTTGCCTCTGAACGACGTTGACACATTTTATTCAAAGTAAAATACGCATCGAATTATGAATACTGCTAACTTAAAAAAGGTGAATATTTAAACTCCACAACCTCTTGAATGGTTTATGACTCTTACTCCCATGTTTCACTCTTCAGTTCCAGCAAAAAACCAGAATATTATTGGGTTTCATTCATTTTAATGAGCGAAGCAGGTATAAAACCATCACATGAATTACAAATTCCTCTGCGCAGAATCTTAATAATTTTTGCTGTCCAACCTGTCTGATTGATGGTTTTGAAGAAATGCAAAAACTCGGACTGCCACCGATCGATGCCTTTCATCCTTGTCAAAATCTGATGCGATGTAAAACTACGGCACGCGGGATTTGTATTGTAGAACTGAGATGGAATACTTCTGGAATAAAAAAATTGCCCTCTGACGCACGTTCAATAGGAATTTTGTCAAATTTCAGAAAATCGTGAAGCAAGACATTAATGCTGTAAATGAAATTCTCCGAAATTTTACGCTATTCCGTTCAGTTTAATATTTCACCTTCGCGATTCATCGAAATACTGTAGGGCGAAGACGCGAAACGAGACTCTGAGGTGATTTAAAATATTTTAAATAATGTAGTCAAAATTGAATGATGACGTCGATAATAGACGAAAATATCCTAGAAAGGAAGAAATAATATTTTCTCAAGGTTTATTCGACAATTTTGCAGTGATACCACGGATTTCATTCAATGCAATTTATCATGAAACGAGTTTTCGGTGATTCATTCGGAAACATTTTAATACTGTATATGCAAAACCTGGGAAATCGCTTACTTAGGTACTGTATTTGCAAAACTAACTTATTTTAATCGCACGTGATTGAAGCGTGTTTTTGTTATATTCTTATTGAATTCCATTGTGTATATCTCCGACTCATGCGTTTAGAAAGGGACTTCGAACCATTCTTGGGATTTCATTGAATTGTCCAAATCTGTTGAATAGTTGGAGCGGAATATTGCAATTGCATTGTAATTCTAAAAAGTGGGCCAGAACTCCTTTCGACGGGGAATACAATTGTTTTATTGTACAGTACCCCGTATTACGAACGTTCTGTGTATATCAACCGTTTCTACGTGTGCTACAAAATTTGTTGAACTAGATTTTTCTAAATCAAAGAAGTCACCAAAAATTGGTTTTTGTTCCGTTTTTGAAGACGTTTTGAGCATAAACCCCTTAGATGCAAAGTATTGGATGGAGTACAGATAATTCGACAGACAAGTCGAGAATGGAAACCGAAAATTTGAGGCAGGGATAATTTGAGGCAGCGACAATTTGAGACAGAGGCTATTTGAGACAAGGGCAATTTGAGACGGGGACAATTTGAGTCATAGATATGTATTGGATCTATGTAGCCCACACTTCCTGAAAGAAATCTATGCAAACCCATTTTTAAAAGAATTTTTGAGCGTAACTCCCTTGGACACACTGTACATGTATTCATTCTGTAATCCACACTTGCTTCTATTCCAAAAATACAATATATAAGATGTAAAAATGTTTTTGAAGACTTTTTGCTTTGGACACAACCCTCTTGAATGAAATGTGTTGAATCTGTAATCCACACTTTCTGAAGTGAACTTAAAATTAAAAACCAGTTCTGAGGACTTTTTGAGCATAACACCTACCTGTAATATGCAAAACCTTAATTACTGTCAGGGGCTAAAGAGCCTCTCTGGCAAAGCTTGATTTCAATAAATCAAATAAAGTGGTAAACACAATCGGCCTTTGGGGGCCTGAGGTCAATACCTCAATCTTCCTTTTTATGTCAGTCAGGTCTTCCAATATAAAATATGTGTGCACACAAATATCTCTTGGAGCTCCTTCCTCAATCAAGTTCCAACTGCAAGTGCCTTCCTTCTCCCCTGATTCCTCTCAGCTCCTGGTCCTCAGTCAGTGGAAAGTTTTGGTCAAGGCTTTCCTCATGTGAGTAATCCTTTTTTGGAAAAAGTCCAGTTAGGTTCCTTTTGACTCCAGAGTTGATTCACCGTGGAAGAATGAGCCCTGAAGATCACTATCTCCAAGGCTGGCCTGTTGGTGGATTCTTGGGAAACTTGTTTCTTTTTCAGCACAGACATTTCTGTCTGATAATTCTTTTCCTTTTCAGCTTCGAATTCTCTTGAATCTTCCCAAACACAATGGACAACGGGGCGTTTTGTACACCACATTGTCTGTCGTACCTTGCTGTACCTGAGTTGCTTGGGGCGATATCTAGTTGTCCCAAGAAAAGTTCCGAGTCCGCGGGCGACATCTGTTTGACCCGGGACAATTACCCTTTTTACTTGAGTACCACGGCATCCTCAAAAAATACGCAAACCAGTGTTTTTTCAGTCTAGTACTATTTTGTCAAATTATATCCCTGAGTGAGACATGCGTGCCATTTTTAGTAACTCTATAATTGCTGCAATAATTCAAACGAGAAAAATGCTCAACTATCAACTTTGAATTTAGACACGAATTGACTATGAACTCAACTGATTTCCAATTGTTTTCATTCTGGTAAAATTTGTCCAGCATTTTCCATTAGAATCATGTAAATATAGTATGAACTTGAACTTTAAAACTGTTTTTAAAAAATTTGTGCACGCCTATTACGCGCACCATCCCTTTTTTTTCTCCCTCTGCTCAAGTGAAAGAATAAATAATAGATTAAATAATAAGTCACAAATTGCATGTTGTTCTGATTCACAGGTGAACCAGCCAACGAAAAAGGACGACGAATTCCGTTGACTA